AATATATTAGCCAGCTTAAATATCATGTGGTTTCTCTTATATGAGAAACCAAGAAAATATTTTAAAAATAAATATACGTGTAAAAAGTAAATGACTGAAACAAGCTGTACTATGCCAACACTAATCCAAGAAAACAATAGCAACTACCTTGATTTCAGACAGAGCAGTCTCTAAAGCAAGGAAACTTACAAAGTATATCTTTTCTCATTGTGAAGACGCCGTACTTGACACCCACGACTTAAAGGAGAAGAGGTTTACCTGGCTCACGTTTTCAGCCTAAGGTGGGGAGCTCCAAGGAAGGGTGGGTCTTGGCTGAGGGAAGTTGCTCACATGGTGGCAGCCTGAAAACAGAGAGGAAAAGGAGAATCTGTGGAGGGAGACAGACCACTCAGATCATGCTCCCAGTGACCCAGGGCTTACAACCAGACCCTACCTGCCAATAGCACACTTGACCTCTGAATTCACTGGTAGATTCTTTCACCAGTGAATATAGTGCTCCTATCATCAAATCACTGCCTCTTCATAAAGCCCTGCCTCTGATTTACAGGGGGCTCTAGAGGGGACATTCTCGATCTAAAATATAACATTCCACCCCTGAACCATGTGTAAAGACTTATGCACATCTTTGTGTGCAAAATGCATTTAGTCTATCTCCTAAAGTTGACCGGGTTTTAACAGTTCAGCATTGCTGAAACGTGCAAGTCCAAAGTCTCCTTTGAGACTCATGGCAATCTTAGCTGTGAATACCTGTAAAAATAAAAAACAAAGTTAAACACTTCCAACACACAATGGCACAGGGTAAACTGCCATTCCAAAAGAGGTAAATAGGGGACTGGAAAGGAATGGAAACAAAACAAGATAAAAATTTAGCAAGACAAATATTAAATCCTGTAGCTCCATGACCAAGAGTTGGAGCAAAGATGTGAACTCCAAATGACTTAGTTAGCTCTGCCTCTATAGCGTTGCAGGTTGCAAAGAAGGATATTACATAAATTAGTCAGTTCTCTAAGAAGATATAATATTTTTCCATTTAAGCACCTAGCAGAGTATCATACTGTGTGATGCATAAATTATTAAAATTATGAGAAAGAATGAACCCATTATTACATTTGGAACACACCCTCTCCCTGAAGTGGACAGATACAACAAGCACCATTTCATAAAAGACATTGCTTAACTACATAGAACTGCATGGACTTCTCTTGACTTTAGTGCAGTCATCTTGAATTATTAACTGACATGATTGCCTTAGAATAGCACATAATTCCCTATGAAATTAAAAACAGACAAAACCACTGGAGTAGTATGTAGATATTTATATGTATCCTTGGTGCCATGTATGTGCCTGACTCCGTGATCTAGGCTTAAGATAAACCAGGTACATTTCCATAGGATGAACTAATTTTGCCCTAATTCATATATAGCCCCCTCTTTGTGACTCAAATTGCTGAGACCCAACTTGTCCTGCTACTGCCCAGGATCATGCTTCCATCAATAAGGCCACTAGTTAATTGCACTTTGTGCAACATAGATCTGTCTGCCTCCTTTTCTTCAGTCTTGAGGCACTTTGGGGCCAGTATAAGAATACCCTGGGGGGCCAGGGATTTAGCTCAGTGGTTTTGCCACCTGCCTCAAAAGTGGAAGGTACTGAGTTTGATCCCTGGTACAAAAAAAAGAATACACTGGGACCAGGCTGTTTCACAACAAGCCTTCAATCAAAGGGATAAAACTGATATCCACAGACTGTCTCATTCAATAATGGGTGGAACATATACATTCTCATTAAGTATTCAGCCACCAACTTGGACCCACATCAAGAGTCCAATATAACATAGATTTTAGCAAATGTACAAGAATCAAAATCATACCATGTCTGTTCTCAGAATGATAAGCAGTTACTTAAAATCAGTAGCCAAAAGATACCTGAAAAGATTAAGCAATAGGGTTGGTCCCCAAGTTCCTAAGTGTCCTGTTTGTTAGTTTGTACCCTGCTTACCTGGCAACATTCCCACCCAACACTTGGCACTGGGGCTTTGTAATGAGTAGTGTAACTCAATAATTTTAGTGTTAACAGAATATCTTGCCCTAAGGAATTAGTCTGGAGAATGAAAAAACCCTTAAGGTACCGTTATAATTTCAATACTCAAAAAAAGAAATGTGTACCATGGAAACATTGCTGACTCCAGAAAGGTGTTTTATGTTCCCTGACACTGACAACTCTTAATCTTGGCTTTTAATCTGGTTTTACTGGAATCTTACAAGCCTTAATCTGACCTTAGTGGAATCTTACAGATAGATGTACTGCCTGGAAATGTTGTTGGAAAACTGGTCTTTCTGGAATATGTGACACATCTGTCTTTGAAGTAGCTATTCATGCTTTAACTAGTGTCTGGGAATGAAGACTCTGATAGGGAAGAAGAAAGTGGAGGATATTCCTTAGAGTTTGAAAGAATCTTGCTGACACATGTGTTTATGGGTTTCTAGGAGTTCTAGATAACTGAAAAGCTTTGCCATCCTCTCACTACATGCCTTTACTTAAGCCCATATATTTTGTCTATGGTTTGATTTGTGTTAGTATTTACACATAAAATACACACTTATCAACAACATTTATCTTAAAATATTTTTTATATTTACTGCAAGATGCAAAGATAGTAAAGAACTTCATGCATCTCTAGCTTCCTGTAATAGTAACATCATATGTAAGAAAAATGAGAAATCTTGATGATGGAACCTCATTGTTGGTATTTTTTTCATTTTTCTAATGGCCAAAGGTACTGAACATTTTTTCACGTACTTATTACCAAATATATATGAAAAAATCAAGTTTAATAATACTATTAACTATAGTATTTACAATACTGTAGTCTTTCTTCATATTTTCCAAGGTTTCCCACTAATGCCATTTTTCTGTTCCAGTATATAATTTTATGATATCACATCACAGTTACTGTCAAGTGTGTTACTTATTAAATGCTGTATAACAAATTCCCTCATAGTGCAGAGGTTCAAATACATGCACATACTACTGATGGTTTTTCTGACTCAACAATGCAGATGCAGGTCTCCTCTGCTCAGCTGGGGAAGGATCCCCTTCTACGCTTCGCATGGTCGTTAGGGGTCATTTGCTTCCCAGTTTCACATGACTTTCCTGTAAATTATTTCAAGGCTTTCAAGAGTATATCCTTCATGACACCCCCCCCCCAATAAAACAGTGGGGAATGAAAGTTAACACTTCTCAATGTGTTCTCTGAGGCCAGGTTTTATCCTGATATCACAACTGCATGAAGACATTCCAAGAAAGTGAAATATTTTATAAAACTTTTCGAGTCTACTCACCAGCCCATGGCTTTTGGGCTTGGTACTATTGTTCAACAGAAGTCATGGTCTCAAAGAATTCTGTTCGAGTACAGAATGAAGAAAACTTCATCATTACATGATTTTCTCAAAGGCTTAAAAGTATAGCTATCTTTTGTAAACATGAGGCAAACTTGCACCAAAAAACTTTTCCTGAATGCAGAATCTTATTTATGTTTCCTGTCACAGACATTTGTCAGTCTAGGCTTCTACCCTTCAGAAGTCATGTCTCCCAAATGGATTCAGTAGGATCCTGTGCATACTATGCAGAGAATTCTGAAAATAGGGCTTTGGGAGATATGTGAGGCATAGACAACTTTGTTGGAGGATGTGGTTAGTGACAGGTGACCAGGTAACATGGAGGATGATGGAGAAGAAGAAAGGGGAAGACAGTGCCGGGAACTTGAGGGCTTCTTCCTGAAGCAGGAATGCCTGTGTTTAAAATGGCAGCTGGATAAGGAAATTGCTCCACCATTTTCTACCCACCTATTTTTCCATCTCCTTAGCAAAGTTTTTGTTGTTGTTCCTGCTTTTGTGTGGTACTGAGTTTTTATCTCAGGGCCTCACACATGCACTCTACACCACTGAACTTACATCCTTAATCCTAGTAAAAAGTCTTTTGAGACAGGATTTTGTTGAGTTTCCTAGCCTTGCTGGCTTCAAAGTTACTGGCCTCAAACTTGTATTCTTCCTACCTTAGCCTCTCAAGAAGGTGGAGTCACACATGTGAGCCATCCCAGCAAGCTGTTGTTTATTTTAATACTTAAGTGTTTTAAAATTTGAAGTAATATTAGATTAAGAGAGTATTGCTAGGATAGTACAGAGAATTTCATCCACACTTCAGCTTCCTATAAGGTTGTGATCTTATTTAACTATAACATTTTATGGAAAATATGAAATTGAGAATAATTCAAAAGTATAAACTGGGCTAAAGATGTCTTTGTATTTTACCCAGTTTTTCATTAATGCAATTTTTTAATCTAGGATACCATATTGCAATTAGTTGTTTGATTTATTATTTGTATATCCATGAGTAACAAGTTATTACCTAGGTTTGTGATTTAAGATAAATCTCAAAATGTTCAGGATCTAGGATAAAGGGATGGATGTTTTTCAATAACTCAGTTTCAGCTGAAGACTCAGCTGGGGAAGGATCATCTTCCAAGATATTGTGATTGCTGTCAGTGTTCAATACCTTCCCCAGGTTGAGAAGATTTCACAGGTGTGTTTTCCAAATGTTTAAAGAAGGAATGCCAAATCACAAACTCTTACAAATATACACACACATGCACATAATAAGATAAAAAACTTCAAATTCATCCTGAATTCTTAAGGACAGTTTACCTTGATAGAGAAATCAAACAAAGCCATTAGAAGAAAAGAAAATTACAGACCAATGTATCTTAGGAGTATAGAGCCAAAAGTCCTTTAGGAAATATGAAACCAAATCCTGCAACATATAAGAAGGATTATATGTAATGCCAAGGAGATTTTCCTAGGAATGTGAGTTTGGTCCCACTTATGGAAACAGTTCATATAAAAGGGCCCCCAACTCATGATAAATGTGTGATCATTTTATTTTATCATCGTGTAAATGGAATGTTCTCAGTAGCACCATGCTATGAGTTTTGGTATGCCTGTAGCATGTGTGGGTGGGATGGAGCACTCAGTGACCATGGGCAGCAGCAGTGAGCAGCGACTCCTATTAGGCACAGGATCACAAGGGTAAAATGCAAAGATCTAACATCTCTTGTTTGCTAGGGTAGCTCTATCTAGTAAGTACTCTTTTGGCTTACAATATTTTCAAGTTACTATGAGCTTTGCAGGACATGATCCCATCATAAGTTGACCATTTCTTGTTTGCCATATTAAAATGGACACCATATGATGTTAATGAAAGTTTAAAAAAAAATCATACTCCTTTCATGATAAAAACCACTCAATATATCAGAGAAAGAGGGGAATTTGCCCAGCCTATAAACAG